CACCCTTACCACGTCACACGCGTACAAACTCTCCAACCAAGAGATTATCTCTCAAGAGTGCGTTTTTGCCGGCAAATGCTGGCAAAGATGGAAGAAGACCCGCAATTTTTTAATAAAATTTTGTGGAGCGATGAGTCAACGCCTAAAAGAGACGGTTACTTAAATTTACACAATTTACATAGTTGGGAACTAGAAAATCCCCATCTTATGCGTGAAGACAGGTCGCAACACCAATTTAAAATAAATTATTGGACCGGAATATTAAATGGTATGATAATTGGCCCATTTGAATTACCGGGGAATTTAACGGGGCAAAGTTATTTGAAGTTTCTTCAAAATGATCTCCCCAATTTATTACAAGAGGTTCCCGAGGAGCTGAGGGAATCGTATTGACTGCAAAATGACGACTGTCCTGCGCATTATGCTGTTCCGGTTCGTGCATATTTAAATAGCAGATACCCAAATAGATGAATTGAACGTCTAGGGCCAATTTTGTGGCCTCCACGTTCACCGGATCTAAATCCTTTGGGTTTTTTTTTACTGGGGCTGTCTGAAAGAAGAAGTGTCAGAGCAGCCACATCAAAAATATGCAAGCGAGGGTACACAAGACTGCTCAGAAGATCATTTATCCGAAGATGTAGGGCGTGCATAAGAGTGGGAGGCAAACAATTTGAACATTTTTTTGGAAATTAATGAAAAATAAAATATTTTAATTTTAAATGTTGTTTTTATTAATCCCCAATGATCAGACACAATTCAATTTAAAAAATGTTATTTATTACAAATTTTGTTACTTAGTCAAACTTTCTCCTTTTCTACATTAATGGCAATAAGTCACTATTTATGGAAGATACATTTATGAATTATACCATTATAAAATCTACATGAAACCGACATTATTGTAATATTATTGGTCACCCATACATTCATACATTTTTTCTCATACACAAGAGGTTTGAACTTCGCTTAAATAATATTTTTTGAATTTTTTTCAGAAATAAATTAATTTGCGAATTTTTTAAATAAAAACTGCAAAAGCTATTCATTCTGTTTACTTTTTATATATAATCACAGTTAGTGTACAATAATAAAACAACAAAAAACCAATAGAAATCATTCATTTTTGGTCATAGTGTTCAAGACAGTAAAATAAGATAGAAAAAAATTGACTTTTCTTTAAAAAGAATATATCGAAGGTACTACTTGTGATATATTATGTTTCGTATTGTTTTCAGAACAACCATAAGTTGTACTATAAGATATTCAAGGCCTTCATTCTGGACCCGATATATATATATACATATATATATATATATATTAGAGAATATATAATAGAGAATTGAGATATAGAGAATTGAGCCCTGAGGCACGCTCATTTGTACAATCGAACCGGAAGGACTCATACTATTAATGACAACTTTTTGTGTTCTGTCCCATAAATATGAAATAATTAATTTAAGAGCATCGCTTCTTACACCGTAGTGTTGAAGTTTTCCGATTAATGTTTCATGGTGAACACAGTCGAAGGCTTTGGATAGGTGACAGAACACACCCAAAGCGTCCTGTGAATTCTCCCATGCATTAAATATATATTTAATCAGCTCAACACCAGCGTCAGTTGTCGAGCGATCCATTGTGAAACCAAATTGATTTTTATGAAGTAAATTATTTACATTAAAAAAATTAACAATTGATCAAGAATAATTTTTTCAAAAATTTTACTAAATGTTGGCAGTACAGAAATAGGTTTAAAATTAGCGGGGTAGATTTATAAAAGGTATTACTTTACTATGCTTCATTAAATCAGGAAACACACCAGATTTGATACTACTATTAAAAATAATAGATAGTTGAGGTGCGATTGTATCTATTATAGACGCAATAACTTTAACAGAAATCCCCCACAGATCGGCGGTTCTCTTAATATCAATAGTCTTAAAATATTTTACAATATCTTTTGATAACACTTTATGAAATGTAAAATTCTTTGTACACACTTTATATTTTGTTTAAGTAATGATTCGGCGACGGCAGGAGAAGAATTCAGTGACTTAGTGGTTAAGATCGGAATATCAGAAAAATATTTCTCAAAAACCATTGCAACATCCTGATCTGATTTAGTTAATTTATTGTTAAAACTTAACTGGTAGTTTGAATTGCGAGAGTTGACCTTACCAGTACACTATTAATTATACTCCATGTCATTTTAATTATTAGAAGCAGTCTTTATTTTGTTGCTCAAATACAATGACTTGGCTAAGGAGCACACTCTTTTAAATATTTTGGAATATTTTTTTACATATTCCCTAAATTCGACGCTAGGATTATATGACCTTTCATTGTAAAGTTCATATAACCTTTGTCTACTTTTATGGACTCCTACTGTCCTGGAGAATGTTTTAGAAGTAAAAGTATTCTTAAATTGATTGCAAATGAGCTTAAATAATGTTTCATACAAAAAATTGGATTATTTTGGTATGAAAGTAATGAAAGTTTTTTTACTATGTTACTTCTAAAGTTCTTCAAGCGATGTGCATTTACTGGAACAAACACTACTTTTTTATCTACTTGCTTTTTGTGAACATAAGGTAATGAAACAAATTGTCCACAGTGATCAGAGCTCAATTTTTGAATAATTTGAATTTGAATACATTTATTGAACGGCTTAACATTTGTAAAAATGTTATCTATACATGTTGCACTAGATTCAACAATACGTGTTGGCTCCAAAAATAAATTAAAAAGACCATAAGATTTAAACAATGATCTAAATTTATTGCTATATTATATTTACACTTTACACATACCTAGGCTGCACTAAAAGTATCGGGAATGGAATATTTCCACTGTTCCTGTCATATTAAAATCTTTTAATTGAAAACTCCTTGGTTTTAAAAATCGAATACCATTTATTTATTGAAAAAAAGATTCACGGTCTTGTCACAAGGTTTTGTCAAACTTGTTTAGTCGTTGAGAAAATGGAATTAACTCGAGAAAATTCAAGAGCGATGATTTATTATGATTTCGAAGTGGTTTAACACAAAAACAGTGTGTTGACTGGATGATTTCTGCTTTTGGTGATGAAACCCCATCCAAAACCACAATTTATCGCTGGTAACTCAGGTCCCTAATTAGGGGACACGCCCACCCTTCATCCAGGGCCCTGATTCAGGGTAGTATAATAGGGGTATTAGTCTGTGTCTGTGGGCGGAAACTAGGGATGCTCGATGTTGCAGAAACATCGATGATGACATCGATGTTGATATCGATAGCTTGTCATCGATGTTCGTTGTTTATCCTACTTAAAACATCGATGTTGGCCATTATCGATGTTATTGCACATGTACCTAATTAGTAGGTTAAAATTAGATGAACAAAAAATTAATAGTGTAGTTTATAGTTTATTATTAATGAAATGAAAGAAATTTAAAAAACATTTAGTGCTAAATAGTAATTTAAAAAATGGGCAAAACTTAACAAATGTTTAGTTCATTTGTTATATTTTTACCGATAATGATTAATGTTATTATTTTGATCTTCAAATGTTCCTATACAATCAAAAATCTACGAAAAAATTTACTATGAGACCTAATTTACGATTTAGACGTAGGTTCTATATTAACCACTCCTATCGCGAAATAAAAAAATATGATTATAGAGGGCGAATTAGCAAACTTCACAAAAACAAAATATTAGACTTTTCCGTCACCTTTGTTAACTATTTTTTCTCAGACAGCCCAAACAGTAAGTATCCACAGCCGTTTATAAAATGCACTGTAAAATGCACTATGCAGTGAAATTTTCTATGCTCACAATCGCCCAGTGACTTATTTTCATAAACTTCAAGCAAACAATAAACTCATTAGCTCAGAAAACAGCTAAATATAATTAAATTGTGTATATTCATATTGTTTCAAAATTATGTGTGTATAGACAGCAAGAGAAAAAACATTATTTGTATATCAATTTATGTAGAATAGTTATTAGGCGACAATGATACCATAGAACAAAAAAGCGAAAGCAGTGACAACTGTGACATTACGTTTCACACTTGAGAAGGAGTTTGACACAACATAATGATATTTTTCAGGTGATTAATGCATTTAAGAATCCTAAATTATTCAACATTTTAAACCTTTAATAGGAGATGAAATATTTAGTTGATATTGATTTCGCGGGTTCGCATTTTTCACAAGTTTTTATTAATCAATTATTGGCTCATTGACATCGATGTTTGACATGTGGTATCATCGATGTTACGATGTTTAGCATGTGGCAACATCGATGTTAAAACATCAATGTTTTAATTTCTAACATCGATGATCATCGAACATCCCTAGCGGAAACCGGAAACTTGAACTTGAATGCCTGTTGGCCTGTTGCCCGTGGGTTGTTGTTTACTATTTTATCTGTAGACAGAGATTTTATCGTTTTTATGTGCGTTTATTGTTCTGTGAACATCATTCAACACATTTTTCTTTCCGGTATAATCGTAGACAGAGAAGGTATAATTCACTATTTATGAGTCTATGCTCTTCTTGCTCTGTCTCTGTCAATAACAAATTTTAAAATAAAAGTGAAGATATTTGTATTATCACAGTTTTCTTTAGAACGCGGGTATTGTTTGTGTCTGATGTGCTATTTACTTAATAAACATTCACGCTAATTAAACCATAACAAGATCAACCATAAAAAGAAGATCAAAATGGACACTGTATGGTTCTGTTAAATTTTATATTGAAAGTACAAATTTACAAACAATATACAAGATTTTAATAATCGAGACATGATACCAACTTACTGTCTCACCTCAGACCACATACGGATGTAAGAAGCGAACTAAGTCTGAGCTAAATACAAATATGAAGAGTTATTTTCTTTAATAAATACCAAATTTATTTATATTAAAAACAAAAGTTTCGTCAGAGTTTAGTAAATATTTCTTGTACTTACCTAATACAGCTAAACATAATTCAAAGAGTAAAGTAATTGCAGTCAAAATGCGTCGCCGTGGTGATAAGTTTCCTGATAATGGTTTTGAAGCTTGGGGTGGTTATATGCAGGCAAAAATTGCTAAATTAGAAGATCAGTTCTCTACTAAAGCTGAAAAAGAGAGCAAATTGTCAAACATATTTAACGGTGTATCAATTTTTGTAAATGGTTTTACAAAACCTTCTGCAGATGAACTAAAAGAACTTATGCCTCAGCATGGTGGTGTCTATCACACTTATCAAAGAAGTAATGATTTTATTATTGCTTCTAATTTGCCCGACACAAAAGTTAAGAATATGTCAACTGCTAAAGTAGTAAGACCTGAATGGATTACAGATAGTATTGCTGCTAAACAATTGTTGGATTATAGGCAATATTTGCTTTACAAAAATTCAAGAACACAGCCTCAATTAAAATTTAATAAAATAAAAAAAGATCATGTTAAGTGTGATACACAAAATGGAGGTATGCATGAAGATGCAATATTATATGCAAAAGAAATGAACCATATAATTAATGAATATACTTTTAAAGAAACTAGTAAAGAATTAGACATGTGTAATGTTCCCACATCAAATCCAAAATTACCTGTTGTAGAAAATAAATCTAAAAAAAGTGATTCTGTTGCAAAGACTGCTGTTGATCCTAATTTTATATCTGAATTTTATAACAATTCAAGACTTCATCATATTTCACAACTTGGAGCTTTTTTAAAACAACATGTTAATGATTTAAGAGAAAATAATGACTTTACATTCCCTGCTCGTGCTGTTCTTAAAAAGAATATACAGGCTTTAAATAATGTTCAGCAGATAGAAGCAAATTTTGATAGTGGGAAGATAATAATGCACATTGATATGGACTGCTTTTTTGTATCTGTTGGTATACGTAATAGACCAGACCTCCTGGGCAAACCTGTCGCAGTCACCCATTCTAAAGGTAAACAAGGTCGCCCAAAAAGAGAGGGGGTAGATAGATACACCGAATTCAACCTTTATAAGCAAAAACAAGCTCATAAATTGGGTAAAGCTACAGGAATTCCAGTGAAAGATATTGAAATCAAAAGTAGGGTGGACCTTATTGCAGATGAAGATGATGATGAATATGGTTCAATGAGTGAAATAGCATCATGTTCCTATGAAGCAAGAGCCAAAGGTATTACAAATGGAATGTTTATGGGAGCAGCTCTGAGATTGTGTCCTAATTTACAGGCAATACCCTATGATTTTGATGGATATAAGGAAGTTGCATACACATTATACGAGTATAATACAATTGCCCAATACACTCTAGACGTAGAGGCTGTTTCTTGTGATGAGATGTATGTTGATTGCACTGAATTATTAAATGACTTAAAAGTCAGTGTTCAAGATTTGGCTACAGTATTAAGGCAAGAAATAAAAACTAAAACTGGATGTCCATGTTCAACTGGATTTGGTGGTAATCGTTTACAGTCAAGACTAGCAACAAAACGGGCTAAGCCAGATGGTCAGTTTTTCCTGACTTCTGAATTAGTTGAAGACTTTATGTTTAATATTCACCTTAAAGATTTACCTGGTGTTGGAAGGCAGATGGCACAAAAATTAGAATCTCTAGGCCACCAAACTTGTGGATCATTACAAACACTAACTTTAGGTTTATTGCAACGACATTTGGGAAATAAAACTGGGGCCCAACTTTTTAATCAATGTCGTGGGCGGGACTCGAACCCACTAACATTTCATACTGTCCGAAAATCAGTGTCTGCAGAGGTAAATTATGGGATAAGATTTGAAAATAATGCACAATGTTATGAGTTCTTAAAGCAATTATCAGTTGAAGTACATTCCAGAATGCAACAATTAAAAGTGCTGGGAAAGTGTATAACACTAAGGTTAATGGTAAGAGATGAGAAGGCTCCTATAGAAACAGCTAAATTTATGGGGCATGGTTTCTGTAATGTAATTAATAAGTCAAGTTCATTACCTAATTCTACTAATGATATTGAAATAATAACAAAAGAGGTTATTTCCCTTTGCAAAAAGCAAAAGATAGATCCAAAGGAAATGAGGGGTGTTGGTATTCAGGTAACAAGGTTAGAACCCCTTAATGCTAAGCTTACAAAGGGAGGAATAAGTAAATTTTTTAATAAAAATGTTACGCAACATACCTTCAACAGTAAAATTATATCGGAGGATGAGAATGGTGCAATATTTGATATAAATCAATTTAAGTTTGAAGATGGAGGGGAACCTAAGTTACCAATTACTCCAAAAAAAGAGAATAAACTTTTGTCACCAATTAAAAAATCTCCAAAATTTGGCTTACTTAAATCTTCACCTGGGAAAAAGAGGGGAATACTTGACATAAATCAAATAAAATTTAAAGATGGAAGAGAATCTAAGTTACTAATTACTCCAATAAAAGGGAATAAACTTTTATCACCAATTAAAAAATCTCCAAAATTCAGCTTACTTAAACCTTCACCTGGAAAAAAAAGAGGAAGACCTCCAAATAATGCAAAAAGCAGTCTGACAACATCAAAAAATTTTATGGATAAGTTTCTTTATGGCCAAAATCAAGTAAATGAGCAGATCCAGTATAAAAAAGAAAACAAAGACCAAATATTATGCAATGATGAAAAAAATACAAATGAGGAATTAAGCCAACAAGGTTTATCAGGTCTTCCATGGGAAAAAGTTAGGGAATTATTAAGAGCATGGTTGGATAGTGGACAAAGCCCAAAATTTTGTGACACTAAGATGATAGCAGGTTATTTAAGCAAATTAGTTCTTAATAAGGATATAGACAAGGTTTATATTTTAGTAAATTATTTAAAAAGAAGGACTGATGAACTCAACAATAGTATGTGGACAGAAGTATATGACTATGTCTTAGAAGAAGTACAGAGCTCTATGGTGGTTGTTTATGGGAAAAAACTCTGGATTAATGATTGATTGTATTAATAAAATAAAAACTATTCTTCACTCATTTATTCCAAATTGTTTCTATTAAAATATTGAATATTCACAATAATTAGGTACATACGTTATTAATTTATATTATGGGGTATTGGTGTTATTGCATCAGAAAAATTACCAATTTATATTTTATTTGTTCAAGTCTAAATAAGTGTTACACTAAGTATATTTATTTTTCCATATACAGCCAACATTTCATAATTTGGCAAGCAAAAAAATTGTAATAGCTACTCCAGTAAGGATGTCTAATCCTAATGTTACAAAATACTTGAAAAACTGACATAAAATGTTACATTAATTCATAAATTCGAGACCAATAGTTTTCTTTTGGGACAGCCATTTCTGTGTATTTTTATTGTGGTTTATTATTGTTTTACTTAGGTATATATTAAAAATTGTAAAATGGCAGTAAGTATCACCTTATTCATTTATTCATAAGCATTTACACATTGGTAAGATTTTAATTTTGTAAGTTGTACTCACATACATCAATAATATATGACACATGCAAAAAAAATTACAATACTAGTTGCATTAACTAGAATGGTCTTGGTTTTAGTTCCATCCCACTATAATTTATTATCACAGATTTTATAGCAAATTAAACATACTTGTTTAATTTTTTATAAAAATAAATGGATTTTGAATGGGAATTGTTCATTAATAATTATTATCTATGAAAATAACTTTGTCAGAATATACACAAAAACGTTAAAGAAATATGTACTTAAAATAAGCTTTCAGCATGTAACTTAAATATAATGTTTTGTGACAACCATTTTATTTTTACAACAATACTTGTGATACGTGGACAAAACTGACAAACTGAAATTATTTCTCTCGAAAATTATTATGTTAAAAATACAAAAAACTTGTTAATTACAACATTAAATTCAATTTAACAATACAACATAAATTTAAACGCTAATGAAAATTAGGTTGTATTTGTATATTTTTAAACTAACAACACATTTGTGTAATTTGTGTAGCCCGTATTGTCTATGGACAACTATGTTTTATTTTTTATACTTAATAATATTCAAAGTTCTGATAATGATGAATCTCATGCGGACGAACTGACAGAGATAGAGTGTTTCAGCTTGGAGTCAATAATTATCTCGTCGCCAGATCTTATATTGTAGGAGTACAGCTGCTTAGTAGGGTATTTCATCTCCTCGGGGCCCTGGAAGAACTCCAAAAATGAATGATATAGTTAATTTACTCCGTCACGCCTGTACCTACACAATTAGTTAATTACTTTAAAATACATTGAACAAAAACTACAAACGTACCTATACATTAAGAATTGTTGACAGTCTCTGAATATTGTAAAGACGCAGCCGGATCTTATTAAAAACATGCATAGCCCTAGGTGGGCTATGTATGTTTTGTAGAGATAACAGGGTCAGGTGAAACTGCTGGCGGTACAAATACTAAATTATCCTCAAAGATGTGTTGTGCCTATGTATAAACTAATATATAAACAAATTTAGTAGTTAGTTTTAGCTAAATCTTTAGTTCTACTGCTCAGCCGTTGATACTGTTGTAGCTTTTTAGATAGATTCACATTAGATCAAAGCAAGGTTTAAAAAGATTTTATCGTATTCTACCTTGCTCTTCCTTCTATAAAATTACCTATATACAATATCCATTTTGGTATCCACGGCAAAGGATTTCATCTCAAATTATAGGGTATAGTGACGGCGTCAAAGAATACCACCCCCTATTGCACCACGGGTCTAGTAAAGAGCGACAGAGTAAAATTGAGACTGACATTCTTCTTTGTCGTCACGGTGCTCTCTTACATTTTTAAGGTATACTATCTCCTTGTTAGCCATAACGAGTAAACTATGATCCTTTTTTGGGGATGTGGGGATAAGCAGTAACTCCTTTACGAGTATGATAGCAACTGAAATAATAAAACACAGGTTGGCAACCCTGCACGGCGTATCAACTGTGACAAATATCCACCGTATAAGGCAATCCATGGGGAAACCTTAGTTCAGCAATGGATGGACTCTTCATACGCTGTAATGATGATGATAGGTTATTTCAAGTCTCCTAAATTTAAATGTAGGTAACATTTAAATTTAATTATTTTTGTAATGGGTCGTAAGAAGAGAAGCCAAATCCGTCTGTCGCCAACTCCCATGAATGGTGTTTCATGGCTCCCCACTATTAGGGGGTTGATTTACACAACTTTAGGCTGATTATGATTCTCCGAATGCTCAATTCAAAAGTTACCGTTACTGTTACAATCTATTAAATACAACTGCTGAACATAGACCTCATAGGGGGGATATTTGCCACAGTAGCCACGTTTGGCAGGCGGGTTGGCAACTGCAGTATTTATATTTATAGTCGTTATATTAGGAAGACGCTGTTGCCCATCTTCTGATTTATTTCCCTCTGTCGCCTCTTACGACACTCACGGGATGATATGGGGTAGTGTATATTCTTACACCAGCACTGCACGGTACATTCAATAGTAAAAAATATATAAATAATAATAATTTATATAGAACAACACTCACCTGTGTATCTCTTAGCTCTTGATCGACGTAGAATAGCCTCATCTTTGAGGCTGGAAATCCAGCGAGCCGTTCCAAACGTGTTTTCAAGTCTGATACAGTTCTGTAACGAAAACAAATTCGGAATAAATACTACTTACACAGCTATCTCACATTAACGTATTTTTAGTTTCAGCAATAATAGACATAGTCCATAATGGTTATCCAAAAATAAGCCAGTCTCTAAGCATCGCTTGGATTTGCCCATTTCAGGACGGCCTGGCGGATTTGAGGGCAGAGCTACCCTTGGACCGGTAATACTGCTCCCTATCTTCATTAAATGTATTTCTCATTAATTGAATACGTAACCGATCCTAAACTCGTCTTGGAAGCTTAGATCGTAATTAGGAATAAATAATGACCTTGGTAAAAAAAGATATAGGGGTTTATGGCAAACCTAATTTTTTTTAAACTGAGTACTCGCATGCCAAGTGTGGAAACTACGACAAACATATATGGTAAACATATATATGGTGGCTGCAGACTTGTGGGCTGCAATAAACGACACAGGGAAACAAATCAGATATGCAGCAGCGTCTTTCTAATAATGAATAAAAAAAACTGTGGTTGCCAAGCGTGGCCACTATGGCAAATATCTCCCTTATAAGGCAATTTATGGGGGAGGCCTATTCAGCAGTGGTCTTTAATAGGCTGTAATGGTAACGGTATAATTAAAACCTAATATCACAGTTTAAAGACCTTAAAACTGCTAATATCGAGAGTTTATAGGTAGAAAGATCTAATTTAATTGCTTCCAATGGTATCCATTCAGTATCAAGCATTTATATAAAAAAAAACATCTTAGTATAATTCTCTCTAGATTTAGGGAGACATCCCAAGCAGTACGCAAGCTGTATAAGAGCTGTATTGAAGTTCGTTTTTATACTAGAGGCTGTATTTTTGGCTATACATGCGCTTGTTATGCAGTTCTTTAAAAAAATTACACTAATTATACAGCTTTCTGCATTAGTAGCGCTGTACAGCAGCTGCACAATCATAAACGAGCCTGTATAACAGCTGTATTATAGCTGTTATTTGGTGTGCGAAGAAACTATTATACTACAGATATTGTCTAATAAATAACTTTTAAAGAGCGTTCCAAGTTATGTATATACTTTATTGAATGATGGCGACATTTAATGTCAGAGTAAAAAAAATATATTTATTATATTAATATTATACTCGAATTGGAGTTGAGTTTTGATGGTGATAATTGATAGGGCAAAATTAGATTTACGGTCAAATTGTATATGTTTTCTATCAAAAAATTAACGCGCTAGCAAAATAACCAAATAATATAAATATAAAATACTAAATACGGTAACTAAATACTGAGTCATGTCATAAGATTTGTCAAAAACTTTTTATAAGATTAATGATACACTATGATATTTATATAGAAATTAGATATGAAATGAAAGGTAATTTGATTTAGAATACAATTTTAATTATGCCTAGAATAGATGCTTTTAATCGACGCGGCCAATCATCAATCGCAGCACGCACCACACTCATATCAGTTTTCAAATTCTGATGAGGTTTAGCGCAGACTTTCTCCTCCAAATGTTGCCTTATCTTATAATCCAGTGTCCAGTGGGCTTCTGAAAAATCTGGACAAGAAGAGGGCCAGTCTTTATGTCCGATAAAGTCAATTCCATGGGCGGTCAACCAGTTTTACGTGCTTCGTGCCCTATGAGCTAGAGCAGAGCCCTGTTGGAATATCCAATGTCTGTTTTTGAATATTGTTTGAGAAAGAGGTTCCACTATGTTTGTTAGGACGGTATTTTGGTACACCTCGGAACTGGTTTTTACACCTTTTTCACAGAAAAACACCTCAGTTAAGCCTGAATATGAGACTCCAAGCCAAACCATGAGTGACGAAGGATAATGTGCTCGTTGAACCCTCGGAACCTTAATCAAACTTATCATTTTGTTTATTATAACTTTCTTCGATTTTAAAAATGTTTTCCGAAAAAAAAATTTCGCGGTAATATTTCCCGCGTACCGCCATAACAAAGCGCGGGATCTATCCAGCCTAATTTTTTTAAAACGCTCGTTCAAAAAAATTATTTCATTCATTACGTATCGAACATGTGCAAAAGCGGTTCCTCTAGCATCTAGCATTTTCTGTTGGTAAAGCAAAAAAGCTACGGTCCTATAATAGTAAATTGCATGATTTTAATTTAGAAACCCCTAGAAAGTCGCAGAAAGTATAATGATGCAGTTTTTGTACTTAAAATATTTAATTCTACATTTAATTGCTCCAGTTTAATGGAACTTTTTAAGTTTCGTGTACCTTCGAGATTACCTCGCAGCTCTATTGCATCACTTAGTCCACCATTAAGAAGAACTGTCTTGGGAAAGAATTCTCCTTATGCCAGGTTCTGCAAAGTTATTAATGGATAT